AGAGCGTGTTCGCTAGGTAGCTGGAGATGGAGATGACCTCTCATCAACTCTATTTCTTGTCTTTTGATTGGTCAAAATAGTTTAGTTCACAACGTGACAACTGGAGAATTACTCCGTCTCCTTCTCCAGCTCCCAGAGCTGGAGAAGGAGAAAGTAGCTGGAGATTGAGGCAGTTCAGCCGCACACACAATGAACGAAGAGGAAGCTGTACTGGTTGCTACATGCTCAGCTGTCGCACAGGTTGCAGTCCTCCTATCAGGAGAATCCGACGATGCGCCGCAAGGCCCTAAGGAACAGATTCGTACCGTGACCTCACTGCACTTTGAGCCCATGCTACAGTCAGCCGCGTATGCAAGTTGGTTTGAAGACAATCTTCGCTGCACCAAGCCAACTTTCCTACGTATTGCTGGTTTACTACGAGATCAAGGTGTTCTGTTTGCTGCTGGCAGCATAGCTTTGAGAAGAAAGTTGCAGCCGTGTCAAAACGAGCCCGCAGCAGGGCATCAGCTGCTGCAGTCGTCCACGCAAAGGAGGGTTGCTTCGTAGCGATAGACGTTTCACCAGTATTGGCCTTCTTCTTCTGATTCCCAACGCGGCGATGTGAGTCTTGGTTGCGGGCTGACGCAGCTACAACTCCGAGCGCAAAAAGCTGGCTGGGTGTCTCTGAATGCGGCAGCGCCAGCGAGGAAGTGCGGGCATCCAGCTCCGTTTGAGTGGTGGAGTAGTGGGCGGTGTCGCATACACAGTCTGGGCAAGAGCAACATCGGAGGCAGGTATGTCCAAACTGGCAGCAGCCAGCACGAGGTCGCCAAAGGCTGACGGGAACGGAGGCGCAGCTCTCGGAGCGTCATCGGCAGCTTGGTCCATCTTGATTCGAGCTGTCACAAAAATCCAGCAGCGAATCGACAAGGCCATTTGATTCGCTATAAACAGAACTACTTTAGACCAATCACAATGTATTTCTCATGTTGAAGTGTCGTGTTGACAACAACATGCTTCTTCAGCTTAAACTGCATCACCTTGGCCCACTCAGCAGCTTCGGGCGTCTCCGTAGACCAGGTTTTCACACGGGGCACATAAGCTTCCCACAGCTTGTGGACAATTTCGTTGAACTAGCCACCATTCATAACAGCAGGGGCCAGCGCGTTGCCGGACGTGTCGCGCTAGTTGAGGGTTTCTTTGACAATCGGCTGTACCAAGAGCTGGTAGAGCTGCTGGGTTGATACCAGCGGCATAAGGACTGCATCAGCTTGAGTCGTGTTAGGAGCTGCGGCTGATGCCCGCCTCTGCGAAGCTTGGGCTGTCAAATTCATCGTCTGTGCAGCTCCAGCAGCTGATTGCAAGCCCAGAGTAGTGCCTCTGGCTCCGACTCGCTCAGGTACTGCTTGCCCTTCGCTGTGGCCTGCTCCAGCAGCGACTCGCAGGTCTGGGCCGACACCTCCGGCTGCGACTCGCTCTTGCACTACTCGTTCTTCGCTGTGACCAGCTCCAGCGGCTGCTTGTATGTCTGGGGTAGCACCCCCGGCCGCGACGCGCTCGAGCACTGCTTGCCCAACTTCAGGTCCTGCTCCAGCAACGACGGGCAGGTCTGGGGTGAGGCCAGCAGCAGCGCGCTCTCGAACCACTTGATCGACTTGGTGCTCAGCTCCTACAGGGGCTCGAAGGTCTTGGGAGGAGCCAGCTGAGACGCGTTGTTGACCGTCACAGTCTGCTTGACTCTCAGCTCCAGCAGCGGCGCGCAGGACTTGAGCGAAGCCAGAAGCTGCTTGCTCTGCTGCGAATACAGTATCCGGCGTCTCCTGGTCTTCTGATGGGTCGTGACGCGCTACATTCCCGTGCGCAGGGTATGGCGAGACTCGCTGATGGCTTCGCGCACGAGACGATCGTCCTGACGGCTGCTGCATTGCATTGACTGCGGAAATGCGGAATGCGGAAATGCATCTGCACGTGGGTTCAGAGTGATTGTCTTACCCTGTGTATTTCATAAAATATGATTTTACGAGGGTTTGTCGGCTTTGCGGCGATTCGGCTGGGTCGATTCAATCAATCGACCTCGGAAATTTTGAATAGAACGCGCAATACTGCAGCGTGAGACCGGCCACTTTTTGACTTTCGGTGCGGCCTCGGCTTGGCATGACTGTCACCGAGAGATCGGTACCATCACTGTCGGACTGCTGCTTCGACACGGTGCTGGAACCGGTCTCGGAGTCGTCGTCACCTCGGAATAGCGATGATAAGGACCATGCTGACGATGGGGCTGCGACTATTGCCAGCGTGGAAACCACGGCAAGAACGAGCTTGGAGCTGCGTCGTGCCGCGGACGGCACGGAAGTCAAGGTGACGCAGCCTCGAGGAGACTATCGAGTCGCGCGGTGGAATCCCTCGCCATGGCCTGCAGACGTACACGACCGGCAACAAGGTGACGGTCTACACCGTCGCGAACGAGTTCTTCACTGCGGTTGTTAAGGACTTTAGAGCGACGAAGGAGGGCGACCGCGTCATGTACACAGGTTGGGACACGTGCGTCATCCCGTTCGAGGCCGACATCGACCCTAAGGGCACCAAGACAGGCTTCGACGTCATGTTCAAGGGCATCGTGGAGCGCGGCGGCAGCGTCAACCTCTTGTCGTGGTCCAACTTCCTGCTGACGTCGCAGAACACGAACGCGCGCGACGTCATCAATTCGATTCCTCCATCGAAGATCAACGGAGCCAAGGCTGTGTATCTCTTCGACGACCGCGTTCCGCTCGTGGCCTCGTCGCAACACCAGAAGACGATCGTTATTGCCGCCAACAAGTCCACGGGCAAGGACGAACACCCGATCGCCTACGTCGGCGGCATCGACCTCACCAACGACCGATGGGACACGATCTACCACAACAACACCGCCATCCGCAAGGCGGCAACATCCCGTACCGCAACAATGGCTGGGTGGACGCTCACTTCCGGATCCACGGACCGGCCGCGAAAGAAGTGGCCAACAACTTCCTCCAGCGATGGAACTCCGACTACAAGCCGTGCCAGGGGCTGGGAGACAATCTCCTGGACTTTGACAACCCGGACTACGAGAAGCTGCCGCCCATCGACTACGCGAGCAGCAACACCACGTCCAAGCTCGGCCACCAGAACAGATCGTGCGGACGTTCAGCTGCAAGCACAGACACTACGAGGAGTTCGCACCACGAGGCGAGCAGTCTCTCTTCAAGGCCCGACTCAAAGCGCTTCGAAACGCCAAGAACTTCATCTACATCGAGGACCAGTACTTCATCTAACGTGCCCGAACTGCTGGACGCTCTCATGGAGGTCTTGCCCCGGATCCAGCGCCTCATCGTGCTCGTGCAGCCGCCCGACACGCTGCTCAAGGCCTCAGGCTACGAGAAGTACCTGTACGAGATGATCGGCCCCATGAAGGAGAAATACCCCAACAAGGTACAGATTTACACCACCAAGCCAGAATTGGACATCTACATCCACACCAAGCTCGTGCTCATCGACGACGTGTACGTGTCGCTGGGCTCGGCCAACTGGAACCGCCGCAGCATGACGTCCGACTCGGAGCTCAACGCCAACGTCATCGACGACGAGACGGTCGAGTCGCCTGACGGCGTCACGGTGCTCAAGCTGGCGCGCGACATGCGCATCCGCAAGTTCGTCGAGATGACGAGGCTCAGCTACAAGAAGCTCAACGCCATGAAGTTCATCGATGCGGCGGACCAGTTCAAGATTGCCGCCAAGGACGAGTCCACGATCCTCACGGACTTCAGCGTCAAGCACCACGCGTACTACATCACGTTCGTCGACGTATTCCGGGAGCAGGTCGATCCGCAGGAGGTTTGCACCTTCACGGAGGAAGGCTCCAAGAGAGAGATTCAGTAGTGTGGCGCAGTGCAGTGAACTCATTTTTTTTAAAACTACGAGCCGCTAATTATCTCGTAAGTAGAAGCCTTTGGATTACCCCGCAACTTCTTAGTTAGGATTTTCGTTAAAGACGTTCGACTGCTTGACTTCTCAGCGCAGCTGTAGCACTAGCAAGAGTTTACATGGCCGATGATCGGCCTATGAAATCAAATAGGCAACCCGGAGCGTTGCTCCGGGAGGGTACACAGGTCGACGAATAGTTTCATGGACGATGATAACGGTTAATATTTGAGTAAATCCCAAAGTTGTATTGTTTTTAATCCTTTAAAAAGGCACTACCAGCCCAGCTCTTTAGTAGACTCTAACGTGGGCATCTACTGTGGCTCTCCTGAAGAACAGGCCCGCTTTTTAGAACGTTCTAAATCTAGAACAGAAAATGACTTGAACTTAATACGGATGCTGTCCTTGTTTTGCCCTATGAGATGCTCATGATAGGCCCGCTTTTGACCGGCTTTCGCCAGACCTCCAAAGCGTAATCACTTAACCCCTTGGACGCGGAGGGTTGGAAATTCACCTTATGCTGTTCTGAACAGCATAAGAATCACTTAATGTCACTATACCTCTAAATCCGCAAAAAGTGATTATCGTCCCTTCCCATATCTAGCTTGGATATCATTGGTCCACGTATCCAAACGTGGCCATTTGATTGGGCATCAATAACATATGACTATCAGGGTAGTTCAACTACCACGCACAAGCACGAACTATTTTTCAGAAAAAATCAAACATCGGTTCCCCTCTTGCTGCCGCCACTCATTCTTCATTCGGCGCAGCGCGAGACAAAGTGGCAGTTTGGGATGACATCGGCGCGGTGGGGCTTCTTCCGTGCAAGCCCCAGACGGACGAGAGGCTCGGTACGTGCGCTAAGTATCTTGGTATAGATCCCAAACTAACTAGTGCGACTGTCGCTTTGAAGCGCGAGCCACTTGAAGTCTGATTGTAAGCACCAAACCCGAGTAAAGCAGTGCTGAGTTGTTTCAGCGCTGACCTTCGACCAAGCGTGTTCGCACCACATCAGTGCGGTTAGTAGCTCTACTTTGTACTAATCGTAGAGGGCTTAGCGGGTAGTGCGCAAATGTGAAAGTGGAATCGTAAATACAGAGAAGATCGCACAGACAATCAAAAGGGCGCCAATTATCAAACTGCACAGCTTAGTACTTTTAGCCAAACAAAGGTATCCTGGATTTTTACATCAGTACCTTTGCCCATCTCCGTTCGTCCTGTTGTTGCACCTTGAAGTATTATTTATATGAGGTTATGTATTGTATACCCGTTCGGTATTGAGGCAGATTTCTGTAACTCAAAGTATTGTATTACTCAGTAATACAATTTAGGTATTAATACAGGTTGTATTAATACTTATACTCGTTTTTTGGGCGAATGTACAAGGATAATTGAAGTAATACTACTCCTCGGAATTGGTAATACCAGTACTATTTTACGGTAAAACTTCCAGAAACCCCTCCGAACCCACGCAGGAGCTATTTTAGTGCATGCTCGCGCACTTCCACTCTCTATACGTCCTCCGCGGTGCTATTCGATACCCGTCGGACCGCGGGACCCGTGCGAGGGCCCGTGCCAACGTCTACCACGACCTTAACAGAAACTTCTATCTAATTGCAAAGGGGAAGTTTGCGCTCGATCACTAAACCAAGCTACCGACATACTTCCCAACTACCCACAAAAATATTGCCCTGCCTGTGTTAATTAAGACCAGTGCCGCGGGTCTACCACTACATAGCCACATCTTCAGGTCGCGCTACGTTTGTCTTGGCTGCCTCTGCAACATAAGGACCGTCGTATGAATACTATGAAGAAGGTCTTCAATGCCATTCGGATCGTCAAGGTGATAGGAACGCTTCAGCGTTGAACTGTTATTTGGGCTCAGTATAGAATCCCCACTGGCGAAGCCGAGCTAATGTGGGCCACATAAATTTGTACTAGCATAAAGTATTACCCAAAGTATTCATACAATCTGTATTAACTGGACATCCCTTCAACAATGTACGGGATTCTCGGGAAAATAATAAATTCGTTTTTTCCTGGTGAGTCTAGGGATGCTGAAACTTTGCATATCTACTAATATGTCCATCAAAGGAGTAATGCCAAAGTGGCTTCTCCTTTTCTTGTCCCGTTCGGCAACGAGGACATGATGTGCATTCCCCCTTACTATTTGTCAGTCATCTTGTCGCTACTAATGCGCGATCTTTCATCCCTACCTGAAAGGTCACACAAATACATATAGCTCTTTATATGCTGCATAAATAACGGTAAGAAACATCACAGAGGCGCCAGGCAACGCCAACTTTGAGGATAAATCGCTCGAGATCTACATACATTTAGCGCTTCATACAGCGGCATTACCCAAACTAGATGCAGGGCTTTCTATCCATGTCGGTCTCAACGGCGATGTTCCTCTTATTGAAGAGTTAAATTCGCCGAAATCACAGGTTTCCGACCTGTCATGTGCATTCGTGAAGGGACGCTCAGTTAATTCTGATACTTGCTTTCTATACGAAAGTATTGTATAACCGATAGTTATACCAGACCTCCAGTAGGGCCAGTAATACTACTACCTTGATTTGGTCGATTATCCTAACCTCTGGTCACCCCTCCAGACGAAGTACCCGAACAAGTTTCGAGTCTACACCACCAAGCTCGAGCGCGATATCTACACCCACAGCAAGTTCGTCATCATCGACGACGTGTACCTGTCCGTGGGCTCGGCCAACTCGAACCGACGCAGCATGACGTCCGATTCGGAGCTCAACGCCAACGTCGTGGATGACGAGACCGTTGAGTCGCCGATGGCATTACAGTCAACAAACTCGTGCGTGACTTCCGCATCCGCAAGTTCGTCGAGATGACGGGACTGAGCTACGACAAGCTGGATGCCATGACGTTTCTCGACGCCGCGCACCAGTACGACGTCGCCGCCGCGGACACTTCGTCCCTCATCCAGACCCTAGAGGCCGAGTACCATCTCTACTACACCATTTCCGAGTCGTTCTGCACAAATGCTCGATTCAAAACGATCATGTAGAAAAAGGGTGAGTATACTTATGGCGTATACTTGGCCGACTTCTGATCAAATTCTCGATTCAAAATGACCACAGCCATTTTCAAAACGATCAGCTGCCCTTTCTGTGATACCACAGAGGGAAGCAGATCAACAATTGTCCTTTTCGAGAAAATTCTGGCTGATATCAGTATTAATTTGAGAACATAAATACGACGCAGTGTCAATTGTTGATTAGTCTTTCCCACAACGCACCAGAAAAATGGCACATGTTCATTTAGAACATGAAAGTGATTGTTTTGAATCCGTGTACTGTTCTGGTCGGAGTCGGACGTGTATACTGCCCTTTTTCTACGTGATTGTTTTGAATCGAGCATTTGTGCAGAACGACCCGGAAATGGTGTACGTCGGCTTCACGGATCTCATCCGTCAGCACGCGGATCCGCAGGACTCGTGCTCCTGAACGGTAAGTAGATGAACATGAAATCTCTATCGTTAAGCATATGCATGTGGCCTCCAATGCTTTTATATACTTTGGTAGGCTGCTTCTAACTACTAGTAAGTATATCGTCTGATAGTCTATAGACGTCCGGTAAACCAAATATATCGTTTTTCCGTGTGTTCCACATTATGTCCTGATTGCCTTTTCTAACAGTATCGTGATCACTATGGTCTCCTGTTCGTAGCGTTAATGCATTCGGTTTTTGGTATGCGGCCTCGCGGTTGCCACGGATAAAATCAACGCCATCTCCCCTAGCCCTGATGTGCCTTAGCGGCCGCGAAAACATTTCGATTTGGTTCCAAGGCTATTTTTGCAAGACCCCTCCGGAGGGGATACATGTAAAGCGATCCGCGATTCCTGTATCACCTCACTGAAATCGACCCATTCTGGAACTTAGAGAAAAAGATGCCATTTTTAAACAGAAGTTTTTCTTTCTATTCCGGGCGACGTTTAAGCTTAAAAGCTCTAGATATCATTTTACTGGACCGATTCCCGTAGCCTACATTCCGACAGTTCTCTTATCTAAAAGCTCGCGTACAGATCTCGTCCAGCCCGTAAGCCGGACCAGCAATATGGTATCTAGATGTCTTAGTTCGGTACATATCTAAATGTGCACTTCGAAGTTGAAGCAGTTGGGCACTTATCGCACGATAGACCACGCGATAGCTTCAGCCACGAGTGGCGGCGATGCTTACCATGCATGCAGCGCCATTCTGGAGACGCAAATGCTTCTGTGCTGTGCCTCAGGCTCGGTACATATCTTCCTTCGTCGACTGCTTCTGCCGTGGCTATCGATGCTTGCGGATGGACTCGCCTTGTGTTGCCTTTGCGTCGGCAGCGCTTTTAGACTCATTCCTAGAAAATTACATTAGAACACTATCGCTACTTTCCTTACAGGTCAGTTTGCACTGCTTCGTATCTGTAGTACAACTACTTATTTCGCTTTTGTCGGAGGGTATACACCCTCCGATAGATTTTGTATTGCGAACAGATCACGGCGAAACCGGAACTTGCGTTGCTGGCAGTATTTTGCAAATGATAGACGCGGACGATGAAGACGAGTTCGTCGCTATCTCATGTTTCGAACTAGCTCTCCAAAAGAAGTATAATAGTTAATATGCGGGTGATAAATACTTACTACTATAGCAATCGTGGAAACAACGAGTAGTACTAACCATTGTAATAAAGTAAGTAGAGGTTGAGAGCAACTTCGCTATGGCAATAATTGGAGTGAAGGCACAAACGAGACGACAATGAAAATTATAATGTGCAAAATGAAAAAAACTGCTAGTTCTAGACATGTTTATGCGAAAGCCTGAGCAAAAGTTTAAGAATTAGCGCGTTGTGACTCGATATCATTCCCCTTTTATTAATTATGTAAATAGTAAAGTGGTCGACTATCATTTAAATATACACTTAATTTGCGGCGAATTATGCTCAAAGGGGTCTTTTAAGGAGTTGGCGCTGTTTTTCAAAACGATTTGGTTTACACTTACTGTAGAAATTAGATCATCTAAGATAAATATCGGGTTTATGCAAAATTACTATTCTAATTAATATAATAACATGATTATTACGATAGTGTTGTGTAATTTGTTTAGCTTAGTACTGTAGTTTGATTTCAACGGTCGCACTCATATTAGTAATATGATATTACCGCAGTAAAAGCTAAAAACGGCAAGCGCTGGTTGTGTAGCTTGGAAATATTGTTACGGGAATGAATTTTGCTGTATCCGTCAGTTTAATTCAAGATTATTTTGGAAGTTATGTCAGAAACTAGAATGATAGCAAATCAAAGTATCAGTCAGCATATACACCGTTCACTAGGGAATGATTCGCCAAACGTATTGACCTGAAGACATGAAAATTTTCAGCCTCCCCGATTGGCTGTTTCAAAAGTTACTTTGAACCCCCTTTTTTTACAAGTCGGCAAGCAAACATAAGCCCCGAACCGGCTGTGCAGTCCCGCGTTCGAAGGCCAAGTCGGCTGGATTCCTGCTGCAAGGCGCCAACTACAAGACTAGCACCAGCACGGGGTATCAGCGGCGATGACAAGGTGAGCGCAAGAGACGAGAGCAAGGCCAGCAGCGCCGAGGGCAAGTTGAGCACCTGCAACCAGGCCGTGCAAGTCCACAAACCACGGCGAGTGCAAGACGAGCGCCGTCGTCGAGGGCAAGTACAAGTGCAGTGGCGTCGTGATCGAGGCCAACAGGAAACATGCGAGCGTCGAGGGCAAGTACGCGTGACAAGACTTAAAGCACAAGAAGGCCAAGGTCAGGAACAGCAGCGCCGACATCAAGTCTAGCACCAGCGCGGCGTTGCTGAAATGCTTCAAGTGTCACGCAGACAACGCGCATTGGTGTTGGACGCCATGGACGCTGGAGCCGTAGTTGGCGCCTTCGTGGAGGCACGCTACTGGCGGTAGAAGGAAAGGGAAATTTTTGAGATGTCTAGATTAGCCATCAGATTCCAAGTCAATTTGTAGGTCGTTTGTACTCATGACATGACGGCAAAACCGCAGCACGATCTAATTGGCTGAAAAGCTGTTTATGTTAGGCTCAGCCCAACTTTGTAACCCCCTAATGTAAAAGGATGGCCGAATTCGGTTTCAACCGGTTGCATTCGGATTTCATTCGAATGCAACCGGTCAATAAAAATCCGGATTCTGATCCGGGTTCATTCGGATGCAATCCGAATTTGGTTTGGGACATTTCTTTGTACACATTCTGATTTTATCCAATCATGATCACTCAAAAGATGTGTATCATTTATTACCCCGTGGTAGCCGATTGCTGATTTATTCGTATATAGAAGGAGACTCCATAATGTAGTAAGTCAAATCCGAATGCATCGAATATAACCGGATTTTTTCGATTTTCAAACCGGTTGAACCGGATGAGACATAAATGCCAATCCGAAATCCGAATGCCATCCGATTAAATTCTCTACCGTTCACGCTATTTAGTCGTAGTTCGCAAATAGTCGTGCTTCCGTACTTTTTCGTGACACAAAGCGCAACCAAATTTTCCCCAGGACCTTGAAACATCACAAAGACGGCGGATTTGGACAGATCCCGTTGAGCCGAAACCAATCATGGTCTTAGATTTCTGAAATATTAAATATTGACGTCACTAGAACATTTTGAAAATTCAACTTTCCCCCTCAAAAATCGTACACCACATTTAGCCAGGGTCCGCCTAAATAGCGTGAACGGTGTAGGCACTAAGCCTGCGTCTTCCGTTGGAGCGAAGCAACATTTTCTTGTCCGAACGCGTGCACATGTGTCATGTTTTATGATATGACCGAAGCACTTTGTCACATCAATGCGGTGCGATAGCACAAGTGAGTCGAAGCTTACACTATTCATAGGTCGAACACCCGTGCTTGGCCCCGGCATAAAACTTGTAAGTTTCCAAAACCGGGTCTCTCTTTCTTAATTGTAATATTTAAGCTAATATCTGCCGGAATTGGGTACCCGTCGATAACTGCTAAGATTTATGTACATTACTTACCAAAGATTGATACTAATCGTTTATTAATTACCAAAGCCTGCATTCAAACACTTACGGACGCTCCAGTACACTATGAGAGCGTCATGGCTTCGCTGAAGGCGTATCAATTTGTGCCATAATCGACCAAGCTTAGCTGAAGGTGACCAACATGACTTGTCTAGGGGCAGGTTACACTTTTTTACATGTCAATTTGCTCAATACCCAATCACTCTTAGCCGAAGATGCCCAACCTCGTGTCTGTCGCCAAACCAATCAGCTCAACTCGACAGTGACACGAGCATCGTTCGTTTAAATATGACTTTTTTTTCTCCGTTGAAGCACCCACTTCAAAGGAATTGGCCCATTAGCGTATTTCTCATTCCGCAATTTATCCCCCAAGCCCTCAAGTTAAAAGTTTGTTTGTTTTGTTTTTGAATTGAGGATCAGTATTGTCACTTAGCTACAGATACCGATGACTAACTTGTACACACAGTCAATCGATACACCTTCAAAATCGGTAATGAAGCTGTATCTATGTTAGGAGGTAAAATCCAGTTTCGGTTTCCCGCCCAGAGGGATCTTTCACAATTCGAACAGAGCCCTGCAAAACACCTCCCCCCGCAGCCCACCATGACAAGCACAACCAATCAAACCAAGGGCAAGTGGCTGACGATCGCGCAGAAATGGCAAGTTATCGAGGAGCATGGGCGCACGCAGCCGCCGCCATCGCTCGCCGATCTGGCTCGCTGGTCCCAGGCCAAGTTCAAGCTGTCCCAGCCGCCGTCTCGAGCCACCATCGCAAACATTCTGCGCGGTGCCTCTGCTGTCAAGTCGAAGCTGGACTCCGCATTCGGCTGAGTGAGCTAGTGTTGGATTGGAGCATGCTCCGAGTGAGCGCTACTGACCCGCTCGCTTTTTTCTGCGCGGATCGGTTCATGTGTGTGTAGTGCGTGTCTCTGCTACGTGTTTTTGATACTATGAGTTTTACTATGGGGAGGGAACGCTGCCGATTCCGCGCATTCAGAAATATTTCGGAGCTGCGCGGTACTGCTCGCCGCGCACCGCGCGCTCGGAGCACGAGTGCGCGCTTCCATCACTAGAGTGAGCTCTTGATTTGAATGCACGTAAACTTCAAGGTCAACCATCTGTAATACCGTATATACTGAACACATATAATATATATTAGGAACTAAAACAGTACCACTGTACAAGTTAGTCAGCGGTATCTGTAACATCCTCAAGTTAAAAGATCAAGATCAGCGCACCATGCGTCTCTCCTTCGTCCCGCTAGTGTAGCTCTCTCGCCTGATCGTTAGCACACAACATAGTACAAAAATGAGCACAGTATACCTTACCTGCAAAATGAATGAGAGTGACTATTACCACAATAATAGAGCCGGATAGCCGACATGTTTATGAATGATAGAAGTGGCGGCAAGATGTTAATATCGGATTTGCCCATCATCGAAAACTACGCCTTACCAAAATAACCAAAACGTTAGTTTGTTTGGCATCAGTGGTCGTGATTCATTTCGAATTCGCCCCCCTCGAGCGCAAGCCCAACTCAAGTGCGCGCGCACCGCCGCCGCCCCCCCCCCCCCCCTCGCTGCGGCATCCGCGCTGCTGAACTAGGTCCTGTCATACCTAGCGCCTCCCCTGTACGCGTCAGGGCGACTACGCCATCGGTCGAACAAGCATCGGGACCCCGAAGAGTCGGGCGAATCGGCTTGTGAAGCAGACTGAAGGTTGATGAGGATCTGGCAGTGGTGGTGCGCAACCGTGGAAGACCTATCCCGCAACAGGTACGGCACATGAATGAATTTCGAAGAAGCACTTGCTGTATACACGTGCAGATACACTTTATGTAACCCGGTTTCAGTATTATTCTCAATTTTTTAATTGCCAGCTAATACTGTGCTTGCACAAGCCGTACTACAGGTGCAAAACAAGCGCAGAAACGGAAAGTCTAAACGCTATTTGAACAAGTCACTTAGCGCTATTTCGAGTACATCCACGCCTAAAACCGAGCAAAACGCAAAGGTACATCTGTCAATTTCAAGCCTATTATCACTCCTGATTTAATTACACGATTTGGTGCCGCCACAATTGCCGATTTTAGCGCCAATGATACCAGTACATCTACCATGTATCCAAGCTCAATATGCAACACAATGTCGCTCTGGATTGTTAATTGTTTGAGGAGCTGCCAAGCACCCATGCATATTGATTGACAAGAAGTTCGCTATGGCGAACTTGTTTGGGGAGGGACTAGAACGATAGTTCTGGAATCGATGTAGAATAGGGTGTTCCTAATCAAATAATGTGATTCGTTTTCGCTGCTGCTGGTATCGTTTCGATCTCCAACCTTATTGTAAAGTGCTACGTAAAATCTTCTCTCTAAAGAACTGAGTCGAGTATCGTTGTTTTTTTTAAAGACTTTTTATAGCTTTTTGTGGACCTTTCGTTCTTAACTGGGCTGTGATTTCGGCGAATTTAACTCTTCAATAAGAGGAGCTTCGCCGTTGAGACCGACATGGATAGAAAGCCCTGCATTTAACTTGGGTAATGCCTCTGTATGAAACGCTAAATGTACGTAGATCTCGAGCAATTTATCCTTAAAGTTGGCGTTGTCGGGCGCCTCTGCAATTTTTCTTTCGGTTATGAAGTGGAGTGGCCTCTTGGTGCTGCTCACGCAGAGATGGAAGCAACGACAACACTCAGCTGGGCGGCAAAAGCCACCTTGTTGGTCGTGTGTATATTCTCAACTGAGGCCTAGATTATTCACTTTCACCTTTGGCTTACTCCAACTGCAAGTAGTATAGTGGGGATCAGTATAATCCGCAACAGCCCCACCTACGGATTCCCATCAACTTGCATCTCCAAATCTTGCCCTTGGCAATAATCCCATTGCAGCTCTGTGTTTTTCAAATGCCGGACGTGCCAATGGCTTTGTAAAAGCATCGGCCACGTTATCAACTCCTGGCACCCGAAGCACGTCAATTTCCTTCAAATCGATGCGCTCACGCACGAAGTGGTGGCGCACATCGATGTGCTTGGTCCGGGAGTGAAATACAGGGTTGCTGGCAAGCTTCTTCGCACTTTCATTGTCCACAAAGACTTGGGATTGCTGAATTTGCTGCACCTGCAGCTCCTTCAGCATTTGGCGCAAGTGCACCACCTCCTGCACCAGTAGACTAAGAGCCTCGGTCGTACGGACTTCTCCGTCTGGCTGCTCCACGAAATGATGCTCCCACAAAATTGAGTCACGTAGCCTGCAACAGACTTTCGATCATCAACTCGATTTGCAAAATCCGCATCTGCGTATGCTCTCAGATGATCATCCAGCTTTTGATCTGACCACGCTAGGCCACCAAGCTGGATCCCCCAGTCCGCTGTGTCCTTCAGGTAGCGCAATCCACGTTTTGCAGCTCTCCAATGCAACAGACCTGAGTTTTCCGAGAACTGACTGCACTCTCTAACTAGGTAGGCCAGATCGGGCCGGGTACCGAGCATCAGGTACATCAGGCTGTCAACCACAGCACGATATGGCTTCGATCTCATCAGTTGTCTTTCGTCGTTTTCGGTCGGACACATGGCCTTGCTCAGCTTCAGATCCGCCGTGCTCGGCGTCTTGCAGCCATTGCAGTCCTGCATGTTGAACCGCTTGAGCACGGTCTCGGCATACTTCTGCTGACCAATGAACATCGTTCTCTCGGGCCGGTTCCGCGTGATCTCCCAGCCTAGAATGTAGTGTAACTCCCTGAGATCCTTCATCGCAAACCGGTCCTCGAACATCTTCTTCATCTTGTTGATGAGCTCCATCGACGGAGCAAACAAAATCAGATCATCAACATAGAGAGGGATGAAGACCAACTGCCCATCAATTACTTTAACAGCCACGCAGGCCTCCGACTGCAGCATCGTGAAGCCCTGCTCCTCCAAGAACGACTTGAGCAGCTGAAACCACACTCTGGGCGCCTGCTTCAAGCCGTTCAGGCTCTTCTTCAATCTGCACACCCAGTCCTCTTTGCCTTTCACTTTGTAGCCTTCAGGCTGCTCCATATAGACCTCCACGTCAATCGCCCCATTCAGGAAAGCGGTAGTGACATCCATCTGATGCACTTCATAATCCCAGACAGCCGCCAGTGTCAAGAGAACACGCAGTGTCTCCAGCCTCACAACAGGTGAGTACACCTCTAGGTAGTCGATACCATAAATCTGCATGAAGCCCTTGATCACGAGCCTCGCTTTGAATCTTTCGATCTCTCCGTTCGCTAGATACTTGACGCGAAAGATCCAGCGATTCTGCAGCACTTTCATGTGCTTCTCACGCGGCACCAACTCCCAGGTATCGTTCTTCACCAACGAATCAAACTCATCATCAGCTGCATTTTTCCATTGCAATGAGTGCTCACTCTCCATAGCGTCACCGAAAGTATCTGGCTCTTCAAACTCGCCAGTACTCATGCAGCAACAGTCCTCCCACCATGCAAGGATCAACTCGTTCGCCATAGCACGTTGCAACTCAGCTCGTGCTTTCCTCCATCCAGCAGGCAACGAGTTCACATCATCATCTGGATTTGTATTTTCGTAGCCAATGTAGTCGTAGTCACCGAACCAGGTGGGCGGTTTACTTACCCGACCGCTCCGAGGGTCTATAGGGCGAGTGCCTCTCGGGCCTGTGTACTCACGAAGTGCTGTGCAAGGAGGCGTTGATAGACGCCCCACACTCGCAGCATCACTCGACACTTGGCTGTTCGAGTCGGCCCGCTCAGCAGCCGATGACCTGCTGTCCACCTCTTCCACCTCTTGACTCCCTGGTGGGCCCTCGTCTCGTCAGCAGCCGGTCCCTTATGCCGCCCACTGCGGCATTTCCTCTTTCTCCTTCTTTTGGAATTGTCTGGCACGCACTCAGCTCGCAGGTGGTCTGCCTCATGTCCATTGACACGTTCCTCATCACGTTCTGCCACCTTGCTAGAACGATCACATCCAGATGCTGTAGAGCTCACTCCACGTCCTTCATCTCGTTCTGCCACCTTGCTAGAACGTCCACTTTCAACACCGCAAACCGCACTCTCTTTGGTCGAGGCGCTGCGGCATCACCACCGGGGCCTCTCTTCTTGGACCCACATGCCCCACCTGACCGGACATCTTGCTCAACCGCCCCACCTGGTCGGTCATCACATCGGGTGTCATCAGCCCCACCAGTCCGATAATCACCTCCGTCTCTGGAGTCGCTGCCCCCACCAGTCCAGCAATCTCCATCATCACGATAACTACCTCCATCATTTGAGTCATCATGCATTTCATCCAGCATTGGCTCAATGTCATCCTCTACTGATCGATCAACGCCTAAATATTCCTTACCGGAGGCTGCACTTGGCGTTGATGCCGAGTCCATGAGCAATCGACCAGCTTTATTCTCATAGAACACGACAGTATGGCTGTAGAAGGCCTTGTTGGTCTTGCTATCGAGCAAGCGATAGCCTCGCTTCTCTCGCGAATATCCAACGAAGACCGCCTCCCATGCTTTCGCCTGCATCTTCCGTCTCTCCACCTTGTCGATGTACGACAGGACGGCGCAGCCGAACGTCCGCAACTTCTCATAAGCAGGAGTCTGACGGTGCCATACTGCATACGGTACCTCCATGCCTCGAACCGAGCTTGGCATAATATTCACGGAGTATGCAGCTGTCATCGCTGCCTCACCCCACATCGCTTCAGGCAGGTCGAAGTGCACGAGCATGCATCGCATTCTTTCCGTAATGGTGCGGACCATTCTCCCCGCGACACCATTTTGCTCCGGAGTATGCTTGATGCTGCTGTCAAACTCCATACCATACTTCGTC